TGCTCCTTCTGCTTTGCTGCGGCTTCAGCCGAACTTTTCTGCTCCTTCTGCTTTGCTGGGGCTTGAGCCGATCCCTTCTGCTCCTTCTGCTTTGCTGTGGCGTCAGGCGAACCCTTCTGCTCCTTGTCCTTTTCCCCACCCTTTAGTGTGGCTTGCGGCGAACCCTTTTGCTCCTTCCCCTTCACTTCCTTCCCTGCCGCTTTTGCGGAGCCCTTCTGCTCCTTCTCCTTGTTGTTTTGTTCCTTGTTATCCAGCTTGGCATGCTTAGCTGCGGCTTCCGGCGAACCCTGCTGCTGCTTCCTTTTCTTGTCTGGGGCTGCTGCTGCCGAAGCCTTCTGCTCATTGCCTGGCTTTGCTGGGCCTTCTGGGGAACCCTTCGATTTGACATCCTTGGCTTGCTTTCCTGAAGCTTCTGGGCAACTCGAATCCTTCCCTGCGGCTTGCGTTTTCGGCTGAGGCTCCTGGCCTGCTGCTTCTGCAGAGGCGCTCTTCCCCTTGCTTTGCTTTGCTTCCTCCTTGGGGGGCTGCGCAGCTTTCGGCTTCGGGGCTGAGGGCCCTTCCTTCTCAGTAGGCTTCTCCTGGGAGCACCAATGCTTGAGTAGGGTTCAGGCTTTACAAGGTAGGGTTTTTCTCGAGGAGCCTACGATTGTTTAGCCAGGGTTTAGGGAATTAGGGTTCAGGGTTTATATATATATATATACTCGAGTTCCAGAGGAATCCACCCATGGAAAAATATCAGTTATTGTAGGAACTGTAGAGGACCCGGGCCCTTATTTTTTTGGAGTATTTATAGGATTCTTTACATGGTCTTTCAGTGGGGAGCTCTAGCAGAACTAAAAGAGGAACCCAATCAGAAGGCCTGGGGAGAAGTAGTGACCGCAGGGGAACCATCATCAACTTGGGTGTCATCAAGATTCGTCATTTGCGTATCCTCAGCTGGCATCGGCTTCGGGTTGGGGGGTTTTGAAGTCACGGTTGCACGATACGAGCTCACATTGACTCCAAGGCTCACCAAGTCCACCCAACCTGAATGCGCAACGGGAATGCATGCAGCTGGGAAAGATGTGCACTTTCACATATATGAAGCTAAGCAGCACGATGCTAGGCATGGTCCCCACACGTTCTACCCCGGGGATCTTGCCCACTGTTGTGGCCATGATCTGTGTCCGCGCTTGAACACTTCAGCTACATCAGTATGGCTCTGCGAAGGCCAAAGTAGGGTCGAGGCTTTGCAGGGCACTTTCTGGGAGGGACCGGCTGTAAAGGGCAAGTGTGGAACCCAGGGCGCCCAAGTGACACGGCAGTGACACGGTTGCAAGGGGTCCCAAAACCAGCACTTAGAAAGGTAAGTGTAGTGGAGCGCCCCCCCAAGTGACACGGCAGTGACACGGCAGTGACACGGCAAAAAGCCCCGTTCGGGCCCCAAAAATGCGTCCCAAAATGGGAAGCCCATGTCGCAAATGGGTTCTTCCTTTGTCCTGCCTCTCTTGCACGTCACGCATGCAGCATCAGATTAAGAATGCTTTCAGCACAGGACAGCTCTCACCCTAAACCCTTCCCTAAGATACAGCCTTGATCCCTGGGGCTTCTATTTTTACTACGATGTCTGAACCTCGGCTTTAAATCCTAGGATCGATCCCCGGGGCCCCGCTATTAATATGAGAGCTGCAATGGCTCTGGGCAGCAGCCTCTATACAGCTACTTTGCAACGTATGCAAAATGCACAAAGCACTCATCATTACAAATTAAGCAGACCTCAGTCCAGGCTCAGCGCCACCCAGGGTGCCGCCCCAGCAGGTCATCCAACTCTCCGTTGTAAACATCCTCAGGCAAGGCTGAGTCCTAGACACGAAAACCCTGAAGCCTCACATCCCATTAAGAGTCGGGGGTTGAGTGCCAGCTTCCCTGAACCCAAAACCCCTAGAGCTTAAATCCCAGACCCTCTGCCCCGAAACCCCCGAACCTTAAAACCTGATCCCTATAACGCCGGACCTGAAACACCATGCCGTGTCCCCTGTCCTCTGGCTGGGACTTGCTCAGGTCGATATCCATGAGGGCAATTTCCTGGCGCCTCCGATCTTTGACATCCTGGATGGCCTCTCGATACCTTAGATTGCTATGCTGCTGGAAAGTTCCTAGCAAGAGGGCAGAGCCGCTGCAATCATCATGTTGGATTAAGTCAAGACTCAAGCCTGCCAGAGCCAGTCCGAATTTAATCGGGTAGCTTTGCGTAGCTTTTAAGTCTCGGCCACCGGTCTTGGTTGCCATGACTTGCACACGCTGAGAATTTCAGGCTATGCTTGCATGCCCTGGAAACTTGAAGGCCCCAAACATTTCGGGGTAGTGGCGCTAATGTGTAATCCAAGACACAACGGTCACTCGG